GTTATCATAACTGTCTTAATTTCCTTGCTGCTAATTCTGTTATTGGTGTTCTGAATCTATTTTGATTGATTGAGTCTCTCTTTATTATAGGTAATATTAATTTTTTTAAACTTTTTTTATTGTACTTTAGATGAAGGTTTACAGAACAAATAGTTTCTCGTTAAACAGTACACATATTGTTTTATGACAATGGTTAACAACCCCACGACATGTCAACACTGTCCCTTCTCAACCATGGGTTCCCACTGTCCCTTCTCAACCATGGGTTCCCTATTACTAGCTTTCCTGTCCCCTCCTGCCTTCTAGTCCTTATCCCTGGACTGTTGTGCCCCATGTCTGGTTTTGTTTTATGAGTCTGAACAGTGAACGTCGGAAGTGACTTGATTACTGAGCTAAAAAGGTGTTGGATTGGATGCCAGACAGTGTGAATTTTATGGGTTGGGTGCCAAATGTTTTTGTATTCCTATTAATATTCTTGAGCTTTGTTGTGGTACACAGTTAGCTTACTTGAAAACAGTTTGATCCTGTTGGTTCTTACTTTTAAGACCAAGGGCCCCACCAGACTGAGTCCAGTACAGCTAGGTGGTACCCAGCTACCACCACTGACTGCTCTGGCCAGGATCACAACAGAGGGTCCTGGACAGAGCTGGAGAAGGATGTAGAACAAAATTCTAACTCACAAAAAAAGACTAGACTTACTGGCCTGACAGAGACTGGAGAAACCCTGTGAATATGGCCCTTGGACACCCTTTTAGCCCAGTGGTGAAGTCACTCCCGAGGTTCACTGTTCAACTGGGGATTGGACAGCCCTGTAAAACAAAATGGGACTAATGAGGCACAGCAGTCCAGGGACAAGGACTAGAATGCGAGAGGGAACAGGAAAGCTGGTGATAGGGAACCCAAGGTTGAGAAAGGACAGTGTTGACATGTTGTGGGGTTGTTAACCATTGTCATAGGGCAATATGTGTACGAACTGTTCAATGAGAAACGATTTGTTCTGTAAACCTTCATCTAAAGTACAAAAAAAAAAAAAAAGAATTATCTTTGTGAGATCAAATTGATAACAGCAACTCAAAAGGTTTGATGGGAAGCCTAGGGGACAGTGAGTTGAAGATAATGGTGATGGAATAATTTGGAA